TATAAATCTCTATTACATAAAATATTCATTATTATTTGAAATGATAACTGCGGCTACGATTTGATGTAATAACTTACTTCCTTCAGTTGGTCTCATTAGCCTGTCTCCTTTTATTCTAATAATTCGTTTCATCTGTCTAATAGGTAACACAATAGACTAACTAAATTTTAATCTAGCTTTCCTATTGTGACATTGTTATCGTTTCTCTTGGAAAAATTGAAAACGAAAAATCTTTAGTAGTTTTTTTTTTTTTGAAGTCACTGAATGCAGAAAATTTTCAAATTTTGAGAAATTTCAACAATTTGAAAAAAATAAGGAAGGTAAAATAGAATTAATCGCTAAACTAGAAGATAACATTTAAATAATAGAGAAAACTAAAGGGAAAAATGTCTAATACACCAAAATCACATTTGACAATACTCTGTAATAACCCACAATACTCAAACTCTAAATTTCCACAGAAAAACCTTTTCCAAAGTGAAAGAAAAAAATTCTCAAATATCCCTCAGCCCTTTTAAAATATCAGCGTTCAATCACACTACTCCACAATACTCAAACTCTCAATTTTACCACAAAATAAAAAATTTCCCCCCTCTCAAAATTAAAAAAAAGAAGTTTCCAATCCTCCATAATCACATTTCCAAACTTGGAAACTTTTAAGAAACCCAATATCATCAAAATATTCTGCAGCTCTCTTAAAATATCAACGTACAATCAGATTACTCCACAATACTCAGAAACCAGATATTACCACAAAAATCTCTTCCAAAGCAAAAGAAAAGAAGTTTCAAAAAATCCTCAAACATCTATTTACCATCTCGCTTCAAGACTCCTCCAGCTCAGGATCAGAATTCTCGTGGTCCTGTTGACCGTTGGTCATGCAGCGTGCTGAACGAGGACGATGCATCCCGGTTAAAAGTCATGCTTTACACGGTGGCTGTGTTCCGTGGGCTCTCTGGTGGGAGAAGTGATAGTCCTTAGCGAGGTATAGCACGGCGGCACATTATGCGGCTATGGTGGAATCAGTCACTGGCGAGTTGTGGGTGGTGACTAGTCGGCGACCCATCCGTCCGAGGAGGAACGTGCTTCCGCGTTCGTTCGTTCACGAGGCTCGTTTCACGCCGACGAAATCGTCGATCGCGATCGAACCGATCCTTCTGCGTACCGCGCACGTGCCGTACCGTCCACCTGGGACCCGTTAATCCGTAACAGTTCTATAGAAATTTAAATTTCGATTCGATAGAGAAAAGTAAATTTCTCTACTTTTTTTTTTTTTTAATTTTGTGAAAGTGTGAACATTGAGAGTTGATTAATCGACCGGGGGATTGGATTTTATTGGAACTGAAACTCTGTGCGACAGAAACGAATTCGTGGAACTCGAATTTGGGATCGATCTGGCGGAGTTCGAGGATGGTTTCTTTGTGTTCTTGAAGTTTTTCTATAATAATTGATCTAGATCTTGCTTAGTTCACGGTGAATTCGCAAACTTTCTCGAGAAATCTTGTTGAACTGATCTTTTTTTTGTGTGAAACAATATATTGAAGAAGACTGTATTGAGATTCAGAACCAATTTTGAACGTTGAAAAAAGAATATCGAAGAAGACTGTATTGTGTCTCTACTTTTATCAAAAAAGTGAGATTGAGCCAATTCTGAATGCTGGACAGGTGAAATTGGACATAAGTTGAACTAGCTTTCTGATATTTCTAATGGAGGCGGGAAGAAGATTCTTGGATGAAACTTGGAGCGAAATAATGGCTGTCATTGCCGGTGCGAACGCTTAGATTAGTTTGTCTCATTAGGCTAGCCGCGTGAAACTGATCCACCGTGTGTGTGCTTTCGAAAACGCCACTGAAATCGTCGATATCGAACGATGCGTGTTCCGTCGAATCAACGTCCGTGGTTCTCTAACGATCTTCCTACAATCATGTTGAAAAACGAAGAAATTTCAACCGAAATGGAACATTGAATATTTCTCATCTGGAATCTTCATGTAGTAAAAAGAAATGGCTCACCGAAGTGCAATTTAGTAACGGCAATTCCACATGTTAATCGAAAAAATTGTGAACTGGAATTTTGATAAGAAATGACTCGCTAAAACAGCATAAATTTCACTCAAATATTATAAATAATTAAACTGCAGTTTCATACAATAATAGAAAACCTCAGAAAGTACTCTCTAGATTGCAATTCCATGTACTAATGAAGAGACTGAAATTCTTCTAAAAATAACTTCCTGGAATTTTGATGAGAGAAGACTTTCAGAAGATTCACTAAAAGATCATAAATTTCACAGACTAAAATTTTCACAGAAATAACTCCTTGAAGCTTCAATGAAGAAATAGTAAAGTGACTGAAGATTTCCCCATGAAAGCTGTACAATTCTCTGTGAGTTGATTCGAAAGTGCAGTTAATGTTCCAATAAAATTCGCGAGGATCCTGGAGGTTGGAAAATCGAGGATAAAGGCGCGGATAATTCCTGCGCGCGTCACCCATAAATACCTGTTGGATCTCTGGAAAAAAGTCAGCGGGGACATCTACGAGCAACAGGCCTGGAATATCTGGCAGAGTCGCGGTGTCGCTGTGAACAGGGTGTAAAGTATCAAAGATTCGTCGGGCATAGATCTTTGCCGGGGAAACCAGATGACGAGATAACCCTGGCTAAGGTGAACGAACCAGGTCTCAAGATATATGGGATCTTCGAATCCAGTATGTTTCTTCTGGAGAAATTCACTATGTTCAAGTATCGTTCATCTGTATCTTTCACAGAATTGAGTGGGTTATTTTCTTTGTAGAATGTGTACAGAGGATAATGAATGAATTTGGAAGAATTGTTTGGAAATAAGTTTTGAAGAATGAAGCTAAGAAGATTGTTAAATGGAGTATGGATTGTATGAATACAGTGGCGGGTTCGAGGAGAGCCAGGTAACTTCTTTTGAATACTCCTTGTGCAATCTGTGGACCATCTTCTCCTTGGAGATTTCATGATAAACGTGGATAAGTGGAGTGCATAGTAGGAACTGTGAATTTTTATGCTGGAAGTGGAGGTAGTGAATTGGAGGAATAATTTAGTACATGATAAGCAGTCATAATATTAGATTCAGACATGAATAGAAGATTCTGGTAGATCATTAAAATTAGAAGAGAAATTGAAACCAGTTGTTCAATCAATGCTTGCCACAAGTCTAAAGAAACTCTTATGGATGCTGTGTAGTTCAAGAATGATTCTGTTTACAATATTCCAGAACCATTACGGCAAATCTAGCAGAAAAATGGTATAACATAGACGCTTTAAAGAGTCCAAATAGACTATCAAAAATATATCCAATTAAACTTCAAACAGCGTAAACACTCAGCTTTCGGACCACTGGCAAAGAGGAATACTTATCTCAAGCTGCTTCATTTAAAGAACATTAAACATCGGGCTCTCAGTTTCTAAACAATCAAGAAAAAAGGAGTACCTCAATACTAAACTGTTCGACTTCACAAACTTTAAACAGTGTCAAGTCTTAAATATTGTGTATTTCAATCTGTTTCATCTAGAGAACATTTCAAACATTTTCAAAATATCATTAAAAATCATCATCAGTGCGTACAGTGTTCAAGATGGATGTCTAACCTTTACGAAAAGAATTAAAGTATCGTATATAGTGAGGCGTTTGGGGGTTGATTAATTGGATCAGAAATTGGGCCCACCACCTCCGCCGCCTCCGCCCGCCTGCCCGACCGCCGGAAGTCAGCTGCTGTCTTACGGGCCCAACCTATCGCCCCATCATATCCAGCAGACTCATGCGGATGCGCAACAGTCCAAA